GATCAAGATAGATGAAGGAATCATGCATGTACCTTATACAGCATGTCCCATAAATCTTCATGCTTGAAATCTCAGAAACTAAGAGGGCTGTAGACACCAAATTCACAGTATCTGTTGGCCTGTGCGTGAACTCCCTTGTGTCAAAACTTGAGGTCCCTAGGTCATGACCTTTGCGTTAAAACAGCTCAAACAACGTTTAATTCCAGAGGGGTGTCCAAAGTGCCGCACACCTCCTCATGCAATCACCTTGCACTTAGATGCCCGCTCTAAGAGAAAATTCGCTGGTGCTCGTTTAAGGTCGGTGACCGTCTTTGACCTGTCGAAGGTCATGCCGACCAAAATGACACCAAATAACTTTTATTTTTACCTTTTGAATAAGCTTTAAAGATTACGCCGGGCAGTACGTGCATACGCCAACGACCTAATCTGGCGTTTAACAAGTCCATGGAAGACATTTCAAAGGGAACGCCGTGTGTTTTAAATTTTAGTTTTCCACTTTTAAAGGTTTTGAGACAAGCATTAGGTATGGTGAAATACGCCCACTTCTAACTATAGCTTTGCTTTTAAGTCTAAAATACTGCTATAGACAACAAAGTTTTACTGCAGCAAATATTCTACTCGACTGGCCGTGTCAGAGTTGGCACTGTAGCGTGCGTGCTTGCTCACTTGTAGTAATTCAGATTGCCGAGAGGTGGCATGCTAGTTGGCATGTGTTTGTTGAACCCGTATATTGTAGTGTGCTGGTGCTCATGGTGTTCTTGTATGTTTGACGCTGGGTCTAAATGACTTACTTTCATTGGCATGCCTTCTTGCGGCGCGATTCTTAAGTTAATCTTTTCATTGTCTCCTTTCCGTCATAACTAGTACCACTGCCCACATTCACGCATTACGCAGCACAAAACGTGTCACGTTTTTTATACTCGAGGCATCCACCCCTATAACACTCTTTCTCGCTTCGTCCTACATCATCGCGAGGCCCTGGTTGTTCGGGGCTGGCTGCGTGCGCCAGTCAAGGGTGGGCTAAAATCCCCTGTTAGCGGTCCCATCTGAGTGCCAGGCGCATACACCGCAGAGGAATCCCTGTGTGGACTTAGTCCCGGCAGTTAGGCCCCCAGGTGTATGTGGTCCTGCTCCACCGTCATCCACTCCCCGTCATCCCACAGGCGTAAAGCGGTCAGTACTGGCTGAGAGGGCCCTCATCTGATATATCCTATAACCAGTTGCCAGTCGTGTTCGAAAGCTACACTCAACACATTTAATTAGTCAGAGGCCAACTGCCGTCTGTTGATGTTGCGAACCGCGCTGTGGCACGCCATACACGGGTAATTCGATGATCATGTTTTTGTTGACCTTGAAGAGTGCTTCTGTAGTTTTCCGAGCGAAATGGATGCTCTTATCGAACAAGGTATTGTAATACCAACAGGGAAGCCTATAGTAGTGCTAGCTATGGTGCTATAGTAATGCGCAGTCGCAATCTGTGCGTGAAATTATACTTAAATTTTCTGACCAACGTATGCTGGCCATCACGATGTGGACGGGCTGGCCCCAGTTAGAGATGCGCTATGAAAGAGTGGGTTGAACAATAAAAAAATCACCTGATGAGTGCTTCACAACATCGGCATGCTGGTATCGTGCAACGCAAATCACTTCATCTTCCTTACACCATGCGCTTTCAAGGCGTCGTTCAAACAAGAAATGCCATACCAGCGGATCATAGATTTTTGTTGCTGGCCGATAGCGTTCCCGCAGTGGCTATGGGTGCACATGATTGCACCCCTCGCGCACGACCAAAAATATTTTAAAGTTTTTATACAGATTTGCAAATTGCCGCTTCGTAATGCTCACAAGCGTTGAGTGATGCATGTATTGGATTTGCCAAAAAATGGATGCCCTAATGGGACAAGCGTCTTGTGCTGGTGGTTGATACCCTTGCGGCAGTGATGTCCAATAGACACAGTCGCACTCGTCGTGCGTGTTTATAAGCTGTTTTATGCCATACATCACGCCAGCGGTCCATGCTACCGCAGTTAGCAATGAACTTTCAAGGTGTGATACTAACAAAAAAGTTCATGTTACCCGATGAGCAATTCACATTTCCGGCCAATAATCCTGCCCAAATAAACTCATGTGCACGTGTCTCACACCATCATCGCTACGGGCAAGTGTGTTTTACTGGCGGCCGAAAGCCCTCCAGGAGCGCCATGGAATGGCTACAGTCGCTCTCTCCACACGCGATTATCGGTATGTTCTCCCGGGTCGTCGCCTGTTGGCCATCACGTGACTGGCCTCTCGGCCGTAGTTTGCACTTAACCGTCAGGAGGCTATATGAACAAGGGAGGTCGCAGCCGCCGCGGACGAATAAAGATATTATTATTCGACGACGTTTCGTTGGAAATCGTCGTTGCGCCTGGTCATCAGAGTGAAGTGAAAAACTGTGTAGGGGCGGGGTAAACCGAATAAAGTGGATTCTGTAATCAGTCATGTATCTTGTTCTGGCAGCTGAAAGCCCGAGAGCAGCACTAGCGGATGCAAACAGGTGCGCTCTTGATTTTCAGCATGAGGTCCTTTCAGGGACCTCCGTAGCCTGGCCACCAGGCCAATGACCCACCTGCCGCAGTTAACAATGCGTTTCCACTGGGTGATTTGAACAAAAATGGCCGCGTTTGCCGATAGGCGCCACTTACAGGGCGCTTACATTGCCGGCCGATAGTGCTTCCACGATTACACCGTGTGCACTTGGACACACCCGCTGTGCACGAATAAAGTACCTCGAGCTTGACGCTGTACTTTTGTAAATCGCCGCTGCGACCGGCCAACCAGCTTTCAGTGAGGCACCGAGAGGTGTTGACTTAAAACAAAATGGATTCCTCCATCGGACAAGTGTCTTCTAATGGCAGCTGAAGCCCTATGGAATGCACACGCACATGCGCTATGGAATGCACACAGTAGTAATCTCCGTGCACGACTATAAGTATTTTTCCTGGCCGCCGTGTGCAGGCCAGGCCGCTACGGGCCTGCCGACTCCAGTTGGCAATATGCCCCCGGCGGTAATTTCATTAAAAAAGGCCATGTTGTTCGATGAGCGGATTACATTGGCGGCCGACAGTCCTCCCACAGTGACGACGTGTGCACGTGGCGGTACCCGGTACGCAAACAAAATGTACTGTAAATTGGACGAGGTAACTTTATAAATCATCTCCTGGGCCGGCTCGCCAGCGTCCAGACGGAGCCAGACGAGACCGGGCGCAACCCGGCGGGATTTGATGAGACATGATGGCATCGGGCGATATGGGATGGGACAGGACAGCACTGGATAAAACCGGACGAGACCGGATAGAACCAGACGGACCGTAAGGACTGGATGGTACCAGATGGGACCATTCATGAACTGCTGGGTTCAAATGGGCTCGGGCATGAATAGGTGGAGAGTCAAATGAGGACAGAAGTGATGGAGACATGGGACGGGGCAGAACGGGACCAGGCCGGACTGGATAGAACAGGACGCGTTCGGAAGGGGCAGGATGGAAACCGGTCGGAATAAGACGGAACCGGATGTAGTATGGCAGGAGTTGGGAGGCCATTTTACAAAAATCTGTTCAAAAACATTTACGAGAATATGCCAACAGCGAACTTGCGCTACATGACCTATTGGCGTCCATGAATAAATTAAAGTGCCTGGCTGTGTTGAAACACATCTGCACCTTTGTAATTCAGTTGCTGTCCTTGCCCGTGCATAAGTTCCCAATGCCATGTTGTAAGCCCTGTTTATTAACGTGGGGGTGGCAACAGTTGGGGGGGTCGCCCGATGACCGCGCGGCCGGTGTCCGTGGTCAGCACCTGCGGCACCGCACGGCCGGTGTCCGTGGTCAGCAGCTGTAGCGCCGCGCGGCCGGTACCCGTGGTCAGCACCTGCAGCACCGCGCGGCCGGTGCCCGTGGTCAGCACCTGCAGCACCGCACGGCCGGTGTCCGTGGTCAGCAGCTGTAGCGCCGCGCGGCCGGTACCCGTGGTCAGCAGCTGTAGCGCCTCGCGGCCGGTACCCGTGGTCAGCACCTGCAGCACCGCGCGGCCGGTGCCCGTGGTCAGCACCTGCAGCACCACCCGGCCGGTGTCCGTGGTCAGCACCTGCAGCACCGCACGGCCGGTGTCCGTGGTCAGCAGCTGTAGCGCCACCCGGCCGGTGTCCGTGGTCAGCAGCTGCTAGCGCCAGCGCGGCCGAGTCAGATGGAACTATTACGGCCAGCCATCGATGATCACGTGGTGGGACGGGCTCACTGGCATCATCCCGGCCACGAGACAATATCATGGTCACGGTCACGAGACTCCGCCTCGGCGACCGCGCCAGAGACGCCCCAGGTCGCGGTCGCAAGACTTGACTGGCTCATCGCATTTCCTGAAGTATGCCGAAGGCAGCAGACAAAAACTTGTGACAAAGTGAAACAGCAACGTACCAAAGTGGCCAGCATGGGGCGGCCTTAGTGACCGCCCAACACAGTGCACATTTCGTTGCGCAGCGATGTATTGGAATGAAAAGAAAAAAGGAACTGAAAGGTGGCATAGCGTTGTAATCAATTAAATCCCGAGCGCGCCAAAAGTGGAGGCCGGAGGGGGCGTAACTTCCTGGCAGGTAAAACCTGGATTTCAGTCAAGTTAGTAGCTTCTCAGGGGGAATTACCGTGGAGCACACAACTGTCCGTCATCTTGACCAGATAAGGCTTGTCGCCGATGACTTGCTATGTTAAGGTGCGCGTGATTTGGGCTGTCATGTTACTTTACGGTTTCATTTTGCCTTGCATCGTATCGGAAGGCTACGCGATGAAGCTAAGTCTTACAAGGTATGCTAGGTCTTACAAGCTTGTGCGTGTGCATGTGCATGTGCGTGCTCGCGTACGTGCGTGCGTGTGTGGGTGCGTGTGCATGCGTGCGTGGCATCCGCGGCGAGGCGATATGACTGAAGCGGCCAATGAAGTGAGCGATAGATGAGACGCACAGCGCCCAGGGAGTAGCGAGCGGCACGGCACCTCGGACGTTCTGTAGGTGTCGTATTCATTGCAGTCTCACGAGTGCATCCCAGCTATGTCTGGTTTTGGTTGTGGCTGCTTGGCGATGTCACCCCATGAGTCGATGAGCCTGATGCCCAAGCATAATTGCGTACCACGACCCCTTTTTCAGTAGCGGTTAGTTGCGATGGTAGCGCCACCTATACAACTCAGGAACGCCGATGAGTCCGTCATTTACTTAGGTTGCAGCTGATTGTCCTCGCAATCGGCGCTCAGTTCAAATGAAGCGAAAACTTAGGATTAAGTACGGTGAATCGTGCTAACCGCTTATTTTATACTCAGATGTATAAAATAGCATGATGAGTGCGGTTGCGTTTAATGTTTCGTTTATGCAGCAGTATAGCGACACGCCTGCAATGTACAGCTTCAGTCTACAAATGAATGAAAGTCAGGCGGGTGTAGCTTCCCTTCCCGCCACAACTCAGGCATATTTTTGCATGAGTCTTATGTCAGTGTATGAAAAGACACGAAGTAAAGCCACTAAGTCCGTTGTAAAACGCGGTGGTGCAGTGGATCGTGGGGAGGTGTGGCATGAGAACACAGTACAAATGATTTGGCGTCTTTTTGCAACTCAACGTCACATACCAAGGTGCTTAAAAAAGAGTAGAAAGTGTCTAGGTCAGTGTCTATGTCTGCGGCCTCTTGTCGAACCCTGCGGCATCATGAGATTCACCGTGTCCGACCAAGCTCAGCCGAAGTTTCCAAATCCGGGATCCGGAACGGTATGGCCTCCAGGCTGGCCTGGCCTGGCCTCCAGGGTCGTTAGCACCCGCGGGTGGATGACACAGGAACCGGCGACGGCAGAGACGCGAGAATAGTGAGCCTGTCATTACCTGACCTGAGTTAGGTAGCATTTGTCAACGCCAGCATTGATACAATAGCCATTTACTCCAAAGTTAACATGCATAGCTGGGGTGACTAAAACCGACAGAGGAGCGATAATTCCCTTCGGAAGATCACGAGCGAGTCCACGGCCTGCACCTGCAGGGGGAAGGCTGCATGACGTCACGCTTATGTTGAGCGGGCGGGGCGCAAAAATCGCCGTCTTATACGGCCTTGGGTAAACTTCTTGCAGAGGATCGTGGCGATCACCCTGGCGGTGGGTGGCCGTGTGGAGAGTGTTCCGTACATCAGACGCCCCTTGAACGAATTCGTTTTAACCATTGAGCATAACTTTAGATGCATGACCAGCGGCCATGCTTTCGGACGAATAAGTTGGCGCCGCGTGCTGTTAGCGTCTCCTGCTTATCATGGACGACGAAGAGCTTGAAAGGTCAGTAGTTGGTTTGATTTAGTTCCTGGTTTTCCTTCTATTAGTTAAATGGGTGTTTGATGCACGCTGTCAAGCAGTCTTTTTTGTGAGTGTCTGGATATGTGCCAGAATGCAAAAAACGGTATGCAGAACATGTCTGGTCCGTTCAGGCAGGTCAGGTGGGCCAGTGGTCAGCAACATCATAATGCCGATTTAAGCATTTGCACACTGTACATCAGAACACTCGGAATTTGGTGCATTTTTATAAGCAATTCGAGCACTTACAGAGCCATTTTTCGATGACCTGCATAGCTGTAAAGGTCACTTCATGCAGACATGCCAGAAGGCATTATTGTGGCAAAATCAGCTTGAAAATTTAGAGCAATTTGGGCTGGTCTCAGTTTTGCATACATTGGTTTGAGGTTCAGCACACTCTGGTCCAGGATATGTTCTAGAGACATCTAGCATGGCAAGTGGATTCATTGCACCAGGTTGAGCAATCATAGTAATAATTATAACAACATAAAATATTTCACATAGCATATGATCACATATGCAAACCCAATTGATCAGTGGGCATGTGACCAGGCTGGAATGGTTAGTAATGACCAACAACCACATCAAAGATCTGGCATTTGTGTCATGTCTTTGAAAAGAAGATTGGAGCATGGTTGGTAGGTAGGCAGTAGGTATGAATTATGCACAGTAAACCTCACATACACACAGGCCAGACTACCGTCGCTCACCCTTAGCACAGCTGCCACCATCCAAGTGTGGTAAAAACATGTACATGGCCTTTGATTGGTTCTTAGCTACTTGTGCTAATGTTCAAAGTAATGCTGAATTATTTCTGTTTTAGCAGTGAGAAGAAGTTGTGGGAGAATGTTCCATATTTGAGGCTATTGAGGCAAGCACAAGATGTGAAGAAAAACACTCCCTTGCAGCTACTTGTATGCCTTTGATTGAAAACTGCTGTAGGCAATTTGATGTTACTATTGCATTATTGCATTATTAACTTATTATTACCTTGTGCACTTGGGACTCTTCCTTGAAGCAGCAATTTTTTACAGGTTTGCTGGCCATAAACACCACCAAAATTGAGAAGGGGGATTAAATAGCCCTCAGTGCATACTAGCCAATGTCTTAAGTCTTGGCTTGTTTGGTGCCTCAAATTGTTTCACAGCATGCATACTGCATGCTGACGAGGGCAGTTTCTGTATGCTGCCTGTTACCCTACATGATAAAACTGGCATGCCAGGACAGTGCTTATGCACAACATAAACCAGCATGAACTGCAAACAGCAGATTTTTGGTGTAAATCCATGAGGACAATCAAGTGTTCCTCTTTTCTCCCAGAAAATGTGATTGGTTTGACTTGTTGTATATAAAACTTGAAGTACACCAAATTACTGCACATCCATGACTTGGAGCATTCTCAATTCACCCCACTAGCACGCCATCCACCCTTCCCCACCTCTCTTTCTGTCCACCAGGAGGGCGGCTGAGGAGCTGCTGAAGGAGGCGAAGCGTGGAGTGGCACGGGCGGAGATGGCCGGTTCAATGGCATGGCTGCCGGGCACCATCCCCAGCACCGACAAGCGCTTCCTGGCGAACACGCTGCGCCACACGCTCGCCGCCAACCGGCTTCACGGCCGGGGTAGTGCGCTGGCCAGCGCCGCCGCTGTCCCGAACCGCTCGGTGGTGCTGCGGACGGGGGACCGCGCCGCCGGGCGCCGTCAGCGGCCCGAGCATCGGCTGTCCCCCCGGAGCAGCGGCGAGTGCGCCTCGGCACGGGTCCGGTCGGCTGGTGGCGGCGAGGTATCTTTGCCAGCCAAGAGGCGCGGCGTGAGCGCCCCGGAGCCGCCAGCGACGGCTCGAGCAGTTGGCGAGGCCCGCGGGGCGCTGGAGGAGGCGGCGAGTGCATCGCGAGTGGATAAGGGTGGGCGATCGAACTTTGCCAGGGTGGACGTGCGCAGGGGAGAGCGACGGTCTGAGAAACAGGACCTGGAGCGAAACCACAAAAAGAAAAGATGACATCCAGCTGAGGTGGGCTAGAAATTCAGTGATGCACCTTCTTTTGTGCTATTCCTTGCACTTCATCATCTAATTCTCAGAGCGTCATAGAAACTGGCGGCTTTGGTGCTGTCACTGTTGATTTTAAGCGTTCCACAAATATCCTTCATATTCATCGATGTCTTAACTTGCGGTTGTCGGCTGCTAATATCTCAGGAGGTACTGGTTAAAAGGCGCTGTCGAGCAGACATTATGTTGCCGATGTTCGGTGCCTCAAGCAGCGCCAGTGTGGCCATGAGTCTTTTCACGCTCAATATTTTGTTTCGAGCTGTGGTGATGGTCACAAGAGGACTCTCGTGATGATTGGTGACCGTGAGTACTGCTTGGAGCGTCGAATGGTGTCCAGTTGACAGTATAGCCAAGGCTTGTTAGACAGCATCCTTCAACTTTAAATGTTAAAGAATGAGCTTACATCTCATAGCGACTAGATTTTGGAGATCCATACAAACCAGTACGTCAGAAAGGTGGTAAGGGAAAGCACGCGCGTGTTTTGTGTGTTGGTGAAAAAGATGCATTCGAAATACATTATGGTGGAGAAGGTATGTTTCTGCGGAGCTGGTCCGCCACAGGTGCTTCGGTGGCTCGTACTGGTCTGGTCCATCGCAGTGGACTGTCGATTCGCCGCCGACAGCTGTGTGTCAAAATGTGCACCGGGCACCTGGCCTTCAGTCCCCCTGCGCCAGCCTTCCCGGGTCAGATTCCGTGCTTTCGCCGGCTGCCGTTGTGCAGGAGGGGAGGGGTGAGGTCATGTGACCCGGCCCTGCCGTGACGTTCACACCGGGGTAGCGGCCGAGCCTAGACGCCCGCATGACTCGTGAACTGGAACCGAACGCTACGAATTTAGCCCAGGTACCGAGCTACGGCCACGCTGCGCTCGGCCGTTACGAGTTGGCCAGAAAATTAAGTATCTCCGTGAGCGTTACGCCGCGCAATATTGCGGACAGATCATTGGGGAATGTGGAAGTCTTCCGCCGTCCAGTACGGGTTACTCAGGCCTGCTGTCATGCGCGGGCGGGTGTGGAGCGTGCGTCCATTTTCCCGTTCGGCTCGTGGCGACCCTGATTTGATCAGCCGTGTCAGGCAGAAGACCACCCGAAGGCGCGACTCGCGATGCAGTGTATAGCGCCCCCCCCCCCCCCCCCCCCCCCCCAGCTACACCAGACCACCAGTCCCGTCAGAGCGCAGATACCTCAGTCGCCCACCGCAATCAGGGCAAGGTCCGCGTTCTCCACGTGGTTGTCACTCGGCTGTCGGCGCGTACGCGTCTTTCCGTTTCACGTACGGCCGCTGTCGCCGTTTTACAGAGAACCGGATTCGAACTCGAAGCGGACCCATGCAACTCAAAGATCGATCGAGTGGAGCAGTAGACTTTGTTCATAAACTGTATTCGTAAGGTGTACTGTCAATTCGGAAGACCCATGGACCTTAGCTAAGGCCCGGGCTGGAACATAGATGAACGTAGATGAATGTGATGACAGTTGATGCGAGCGGTAGACTCGTCACCCGTTCAAGAAATCCGAGCAAATTTGGCAATTTTTTCTGTGAAGGTTCCAACCATGGTGCAGAGCAGGGACACAGCCAGGATTTTCTCACACCGGGTGTGAGTGTGTGTGTGTGTGTGTGTGGTGGGGGGGGGGGGGGGGGAGTCAACGCTCGGTAAGAATGTTCACGCCGCATAAAAGCCTGTCGGAGCCATTCTTGGCGAAAAAGGCAAATACGGGCCTAACGAGAACCCCGCAGTGGAGATATTGCGTTCCAGTTTCAATAAAACCATATAGGAGCAAAGCACGGTACCTTAAAGTACCAATATGGTGCCACGGAACCATAAGCACACCCCTTAAATCGTGTACATTATATATATATATATATATATATATATATATATATATATATAAACTGCTCCCCCTCCCACCCCACCCCGGTCACCAGGATTATCTCCTGAGGAAGAGACGCCTGGCTGGCCCGTTATTGAGCCCCTTTGCTTGGGGGGGGGCTCAATTTAGCCCTTCCGCTCAGAGATTTCGGAAACCATGACAGCAAGAGACACAAAATTCATAGGGTCGGCTCACCTGTACTGGCCTGCATTACCCTCTGTACCTGCACTATGATAGGTCACGGCCTTGGGGTCTTAAGGCTAAACTCTTGATTGGTGTCGGTGCTCTCAGAACTCACGCAACCACGGTGAATCTAGATACCTGTTCTAAGTAAAATGTCACTGGCGTTCGCTCAAGGTCAGTGGCTTTGCTTGACATTAAAAATTTTGAGGTGACCAGAAACGACGAACTAGCTACTTTATCATTCAAATTAACGTCATGGATTACGCTACCAGAAACTACGAATTAGCTACTTTTTCATGCAAGTTAACGTCATGGATTACGCTACGTCATATGTTTCTGAAAACAATGTTGGCCTGTACGATTTTAGGTCAGTGATCTAGTCAGGCACCTAAAAAGTTAATTAAAGATATCTATTGCTGTCCCTGTCGTGACTAAATTTAATATGAGCACTATAAATAAGAACGTGATTCTCCTTGTATTTTCTAAGCTAACACACAAAGCAGGCTCTCGAACACAAAAGCAAGTTGCTGTTCATTGGAGTTTTCGGGCGCGTCGACTGCAGTGGTCATTTTGTGCCCAACAGAAGCAAGTTAGTGTCGACCTCTGTCTTATCTTCGTATCTGATTCCAAGCCAATGGAATTCACTGTAATTCTGAATTCGCCTGGTGTACTGCCTAAGAAACTATCTCAGAGATGTGTAGCGTCGTCGAACCCTCTGCTATCGCATCAGATTAGACGATACCCTATAAATAGCCTTCACTGACAGCCAATGCCTGACTTTGACCTGCCATAGGTCAACGACCCTTGTGTATAATACAAAGATTTGCTGTTCAGTTGCCTGTAGCTACGCATAGTTTAACGCAGCTGCACCACGCCGTTCGGAAATCATGCTGGAAGAATCTTCGGGGGAGGGGGAAATCGACCCGCACCCAAGTGCGTGATAAAACATGCCCTGATTGCCGGTGCCAAAATTTCTCGTGCTGCTGCCACTGCATTGCTCGCAACCGTGGTGCGGTGCGGACCCTCACGCGACGTGCTCAATGCTTTTACCGGATCGCTGGCTCGTCTCACTGTGACTGCGCCAGGGTCGCCATCGTTGGCTGCTAACCTGTCAACGCTGGCAAGTTCCGTGACCGATCTTCTGTCACGTGGGTCAACTGGCCTGCGCTAGCTGGCTGGTCTGCCAGACATCACATCGAAATTTCGCAGTCGACGCGACGAGACATCACTGCCTCTCCCACTTTATTATGAAGCGGTTTTGCCGCCATGTGTGGGCACGCACGCGCTCCCGACACACAGGTTCCAGGTCACACGTGCTCCTGGCGCACAGGTTCCGGATCACACGCGCTCCTGACGCACAGGCCGCGGGCCCACACGCGCTCCTGACGCACAGGCTGCGGGCCCACACGCGCTCCTGACGTACAGGTTCTGGGCTCACACGCGCTCCTGATGCACAGGTTGCGGGTTCACGGTTCGAGGCCCCTCTCCTCTTCAGGCGTACGGAGTGACGACGACTATGAACTGCCTAGACCATACCATTGTACAAACATATGAACCTAAGGTTCTCTTTCCAGCGCGCGCACTCACCTGAACCGGGTCTTCTGTGGGTGAGGCTGTGCTATGAATTGGCGCCCGTTAAAGGCCCGTTTAGTTTATCATTTACAGTGGGGGGTCCGTTGAGTAGTCCGTTGTGACGTCCGTTGCGGTGTCCGTTGCGGTGTCCGTTGCGGTGTCCGTTGCGGTGTCCGTTGTGGAGTCCGTTGAGGAGTCCGTTGAGGAGTCCGTTGAGGAGTCCGTTGAGGAATCCGTTGAGGAGTCAGTTGAGGAGTCCGTTGAACCCGTTGAAGAGCCCGTTGTGGAGTCCGGCGTACCGTCGTCGCAGGGCGGCGGCGGCCCACACGCGCAATTCTCGTTAAACTTGTACACAGCGTCGCCGCCGATCTGGTACTCCCAGCAGCAGAGCCGACCAAAATACTGACGAGACGACACAATCGTATTGACATTAGGCAACCAGAAATGACCCAGAGGCGCGGTCCGTGGATGACCAGAGTCTGAAATACTGTGGATGGATGGTCAAGGGCCAATGTTTCGATGAGCTTTGACCTTAGACCCTGCAATTTGCGAGTAAAATGTCGACCTACCGCTTTTGTACACACTGCGCATGACTACTGTCGTATATTTGAAAACAGTATCCCGAGAGGGGCTTGGCTCGTACGAAACGCGCTGATTTTCTATGCTTTAACAACAAGATGAGCAGGCGGCATCTATCAAGTGGGCAGGAAGAATTGTGAAAAAACGGAAACATGTGATCAGGCGTTGTTTGTTTTTTATATCCGTCCCAGAAAAGTCCCCGTATCGCCGACATCGACATCACTGGCGTATCGCCGACGACTCCCTAAAGCAAGCTCGCTGGCTGATTCAGCCATTTGAAGCTGGAGACCCACATCAGGACCGTTTCTGCTCTAGGGGGTCAACCCCTCAGCGATGTCCAGGGGGCCAGCCCATCAGCGATGTCCAGAGGGTCAGCCCATCAGGGATGTCCAGGGGGTCAACCCCCCAGCGATGTCCAGAGGGTCAGCCCGTTATCGATGTCCAGAGGGTCAGCCCGCCATCGATGTCCAGGGGGTCTGCCCGCCATCGATGTCCAGGGGGTCTGCCCGTCATCGATATCCAGAGGGTCAGACCATCAGGGATGTCCAGAGGGTCAGCCCGTTATCGATGTCCAGAGGGTCAACCCGCCATCGATGTACGGAGGGTTAGCTCATCAGCGATTGTCAGAGCGCGGCCGGCACGCAGTACCCAGCGACCGGCGACGCGACTCACGTGGCTGCCGCTGTCGTGACAGTTGCTGACGCGGTACGTGGCGTACACGTGTACCGTGGGCGTGGTGTCGGCCGTGATGTTGGTGCGTGCGGTGTTACAGGCCGTCACGCCGGCGGCACCCGTCAGCGGCGACACGTTACCGGACCCGCCTGACAGCCAACGGTGGTTAGACGCCACACGCCTTCCTGCCAGCCAACGGTGGCTAAACGCCTCACACCTGCCTAACAGCCAACGGTGGTTGGACGCCACGCGCCTGCCTGCCAGCCAACGGCGGTGAGACGCCACACACCTGCCTGCCAGCCAACGGTGGTTAGACGCCACACGCCCGCCTGCCGTCCAACGGTGGTTGGACGCCACGCGCCTGCCTGCCAGCCAACGACAGTTAGACGCCACACACCTGCCTGCCAGCCAACGGTGGTTAGACGCCACACGCCCGCCTGCCGTCCAACGGTGGTTGGACGCCACGTGCCTGCCTGCCAGCCAACGACAGTTAGACGCCACACACCTGCCTGCCAGCCAACGGTGGTTAGACGCCACACGTTCGCCTGCCAGCCAACGATGGTTAGACGTCACACGCCCTCCTGCCAGCCAACGGTGGCTAAACGCCACACACCTTCTTGCCAGCAAACGGCGGTTAGACGCCACACCCCCGCCTGCCAGCCAACGGCGGAACGCCTTCAAGCCAAACGCAGAACGAAGTCGCTCGCTGGTTTACGTTGAGCCTTTACAGCCTGGAAAATTTCCCATGTAAACGATTGCGTTCGTTCCAGATTTGACGGCAAGTGTTTCGTAGAAGTCAAAGGATAAAATAAAGCCGTTCAGTGATTTGATTGTAATAAATTCAATCATTTAAATTTGATTAACCGTCAAAACGCGGCTACGCGGCCGGAAACATATGGTTCCCAACTTATATTTACGGCTGCTTCTCAGTCGACAGGCTGCTGAAATATTGAAATTTTCCTTGTCGGTGTAGTATTTATAATGGTCCATGTACACGAATAGTCTTATCACTGAAACATGTCCGGGAAAACCGTACCACAGGCACCATTCCGGAAATCCCAACTATGTCTTCCGGAATAGACAAAGATGTTCATTGTTTTCAAGCAGACAATCTAATCTCGGAAACATTCAGCGGTCTTCACAAAGACAAATAGTCATGTTGGGTTTGCACACTGATCATATAGGCCCTGGCCAGACACATCCGTGAAGGTAGCGATTTACTTAGCGACAAGGCCGGGTCCAGTACAAAACACGTTAGATGGTGTATTACGGATCTCAAACATCACTTACGACTGCTGTTTTTTCAATTTCTTGTGCCACCCAAGATCAAATTCAAACCCAAATGAGGGAAAAATTCACATAACCCAATAGTTGCCGGTCAATTCCGGATTTTTAAAATCATGATTTGTTCACGAATAAACTAACCTCTGTAAAAAGTCCTGCCGTCTCGTTTAAGCTGCAAGGTATAATTCAAAGGCCAATGAGCGGAAACTAGATACTGTGCAAAAGCAGAGCCACCGTGTCATTCAAAAGCTGCCAGCGTAATTTTAACTGTATAGCATGCATTTAAGTATTGGACTGACTGGAGGTGTAGGGGAGCCCCGGTGGCAGCACCGGCCCTCAAATGCCAGTCCACTCTCGTCCAGAGGCCCCTTGGCGCCGATCGTGGGCCCTGAGTCGACAAGGGTCTCTTTGTGGTTCAGGCACCACCAGTACCGAACAGTCGGCCCCGGGTCGGTCTGCGTCTTGGCGACCCATTTGCCAAGTAAGGACGACACCGGATCCCGATATTTGCGTTGGTCGGGACCTGAAACAATGAGGAGCGCCTGTGTCCTTCAAGGCCCACGGTGCCTGACAGGGATTCCTGTGTCTGCAAGATGCCTAAAGTCAATCAATAGAACATTTGCTGAACAGGGACATGGACTGGACCCCAAATGCCAGAGGGCCTATAGCGTTGGTCATGGTCCACTAACAATGAAAAGGGATATAAGGACTCACAGTAAAGGTTAACAATGAGACGATGGAGAAGCGCTACGTCAGCCAGGACCCCAGGACCGAATCAATGACCTTTACTCTACTTCAGCCAGATAATCTGCTGAAGTCGAGCTGAAGTCCCCGCCGATTATTGGACCCCTTGCGACGATGAGGGAGCTTTCAATGAAGGCTCCAGCATTGTTACGGCGCCAACTTCCCGGATCACAAGGCCACGGCGCCAGGAAAGAAACCAGTTTATGATGCATCCCTAAAAGAGTCTCCGGATCAACCACGAATCCAGCCCCCGTGTCGACAGAATGGTTGTCGACCTCTGTAGGCACCGCTCGCTGGGATGGAATACCCCCAAACCCCTGACCGGGAGAGATAGTCCCCCGCAATGTTCTACCCTGGGAAAGGCCAGGGACAGGGGCGGCCCAGTTGGGGGGGGGGGGGGGGGGACGCGGGCCATGGCCTCTCTTGGGTCCCGAAGGGGCCCATTGGTTCTGAGTGGCCAATAGCCGCCGAACAGGTGCATTTTTTTAACACAAAACGCGACAAAACTGGATATCTCTGGACTTTTAGGCGACCAAGAACAGTTGAAAGCAAAAGCAAAAGACCCATGAGAAGTCAAAGAAAAAAGGAGCATTCCACGTTGCAACTGATTTCTTTGCATTAGCTCGGAGGGTCCTATGCTCTTGTTGGGACCCTTCCTGTTAGCGTGCCGGGGCACTCCTGTCAATCACAGGCTCTTCCACGGATTCTTTCTATATGCCAGAAAGGCTCTGTGGGCTATAATAGCCGGGTTGCCACATCTTAAACTGCCGGGGTATTGGCGGTTGCTCAGGGATCTTTACGTGGGTCTCGGTTGACCTAACGGCATGCTCGCGATATGCTCATGGGCCTTCTGCATTGGTCTAGGGCGCCTCTAATTCTCTACCACTCGCTTAGGGCCTTACGCTTTTGTCGGGGGTCCATCTAATGGCCTGCTTGGGCGCACTCAGTCGTTCGGGGACCCTTCACACTGGGTCTCGGGTACTTCATTTTTTCAGGTTCATCACGCTGCCTAGAGGCATTGCGCTGTTGGTTGCATGGCCCTATGCGTTTACCTGTCGGGTCAAGCTGATCGCTAAGGAGCTCTCCCCGTTGCCCTTGATGTCTTTGCATTTTTTCGTTGTTCCTAACGTGCTGTTGGGACGGTATTTGCCTCTATGCCTGGGCACTGTTGATCGGGCAGGTTTTCCTCCACGTATTCTTTCCTTCTCACGAAAGGCGCTATGTGTTTTTTTTCCTGGGCCCCGCATGCCAGGGTACACTCAGCTGCTCAGGGGCCATTCATATAAGTCTCGGTTTTTTCGACTTGCTTGGAGGGCCTTGTGCTGTTGCTGGGGCTCTTATATGGCAAGACACAGAAACGCTCTTTGCTCAGGGGTTCCTACTTTGATCGAGGGCTCTTTCCCTTTGATCTCATTTGCCGAAGGCTCGCCACTCCTATCGAGGATCTTTGTGTTAGTCTGCCCATGCACTCTTGATCGCACAAGGGTATCTGCATATTGTGTCATGTGCAAAATATGTTTAATCGCACAAATATGCTATTAAATTCATGGCCTCGGATAACGCTCCTCTGCTCGGAGCGTCCTGTGCTCTGGTCGGGACCTTATATATAGGCCTGCCAAGGCACCACCGATTGTTTAGGGGCCTACCACGTTGGTCTTGGGTTCTTTTTGCTTGCTCTGAGGACCCTATACTTGTTGACGGGAGCCTCTTTGTTGGCCTTCCGCGGCACCCATGATGGCTCAGGTTCCGTCCCTATTGGCCATCGTGCCCTAACTTTAGAGCAGCAGTCGGATATGCACCGATGAATTGTATACGCGCAATTGCCGAACACAATTTTACTTGCCGCCGACGCTGCATGTGTCATTTCCCTTGGCTGTTGAGTGTGTGACACTTATGATACTGGCGCATCACGCTCTCAGCATATTTTGAATGGTAGGATGTGTTGTACTCCCTTATAAGAAAGGAGAAATTATGCGTTAGTCACCAGCCATCAACTGATTACATCGCCCAGCCGGCTAGCCGTAAATAAGCCAGGAATCAAGTCCATTCTTCGTTTCTATGGCTGTTATCAGCCAACGCAAGTTTGTTTCGCTTGTTGTTCCGAAACACTTGGCCTCAAAATCACAGGATACAGCATGATCAGTAGAAAATGAGTGACCTATATGTATATGCATGTGTAACACGCCTAGTTTTATAGGGCTAAGCACAGTAAGATAGGTTTCCATATTGATTAAACGAACAAATTAATAAACGTGCATATATATATACATACAATAGTTATCTAAAGATCTAAATATACCTTTATTTTCCCATGGGCTTACTGAATACTTGAATCCTTCTTGTCTTTATGTATATATGTATGTGTATATACATGCTACATTCGACTTGTCTTAGAATGCAATGAACGGAGTGCAACATTTTTTAGGAGGGTCTCAAATTCTAGGGGCCCACAATGCTGCGTATCCCCCTTGACGAAATCCTGGATCCACCCCCGGGAAGGGGTCTTCTCAGCTTTCAATAGAGCGCATCGTATTATGGCACAAAAGTGAAAAGTATAACTCGTGTTTTCCTTAGAGCGAGCGTAATAACGCAAATCAGCTAGTAAACCGAATGATCCGAAACGGTTTTGAGCCTACGCACTCGAAATCTCAGGAGGAGTACACTGTTGGACGGGCTTTCAGTGTACGCCAAACCATTACGATTGACTCCAGGCGATGACCGGCGTGAAATAACTGCTTTCGGAATCAGGTCACACCGTTCAAATACTAGACTGGGGCGCTCGTATGAATTGAAGGGTACCCTCTGAGGAGCGGCATGAACAGTACATATTTATATTTACTTTTCCACTTTCACCACCAGCTTCCATCACCAGATCACAGTGCTGTGGATGCTAATAATTTCTGCAAATGCTAGATCCGTTCCTATTATCAATACAAAGATTGCACAGGTGAAGCAAACACCGGAACCGCGCTTTGAACACTTTTACCGATGCCCTAATACATTCAAATGTAGTTTTTTTTTTAGATGTATCACAGGTTTTGTATATCCGTTGGCGTCACCTAGTGCTAACTCGCGCTCGGGTGGAGGAAGAGGGGGGGGGGTTAATTTGACACGCTTTATGTTTTTTTCCAGACTTAGTTTCGAAGGGGGTGGTTTCGCAGCCTTTGGAATGCATAGCCGCGCCAGAATTTGCATAGCTATAGGCAATTAAATAGCGAATCTCTTGATATAAAGATGATGTGTCTTTCAAGATCGCTGACTTATGGCAGGCCGAAGCCAGGCCGTGGCTGTTCGCGAAAACCATTTCTAGCGGATCATTCAATCTGCTACGATAACGGAGTGTTGTACAATATCAAGATCTCCGAAATAGTTTCATAGACATTGCAAGAAAATCGATTTTATGATTAAAACAATTTCTAGTGACCTCGGGTCACGTAGCGGCGTAAAACCGAGGTCAAAACTAACCGGCTTTCGTATTAGAGGACTGGCTCTATGAAGTAGTTTCTGGTACTTACTTCAAATATATTAACAACAGGAAACACGAAAAAATGTTCCACGGACTTCTCAAGTTTTAGTAAAAGACATCGACCTAAAATGACCCAGGTTGATGTTTGTTTTTGGGAAGATACCATCTAGCGTGGTCCATAACGCTTATTCAAATGACAAAACAATAGCAGCCTCGTGTTTTTTGTTTGTCCCCTTGACTTTCTAAAGACTTAACAATAAATAAACAATGCCACTTGATCAACAATGAAAAATAAACAATGTCACTAAGCTCAAGGTCACTTTAAACACCAAGCTAGAGTTTGACCTTGGTTTGGGAAGTGAGCTCACATACAGGCGAACCCACCCTCTAAATTTGGTGTATTCATCTCTTAGGTGGTCAAATTGGGCTCCTTCACCTGACCGACGGGTATTTAACCGGCCACCCAGGAACGCGTCAGCCACGGGTTAACACCGCGCAACTTGCAGAGACTACAGACGAGCAACGGTTTTTGTTTCTAAGACTTGCGAGTGCACGTGTTCATAACTGTCTTTTTGGTCACTAATCCTGAATGTAGAATGAACATCCCTGGACGATCATGGGTTGACCAAGCTGATGCAAAATTTTGACTCAATTTGAATCTGCATTGTGTTCCCACGCGGTCCTCAATATCTCTCCAGAGCCCATGAAAGTTCCGGTGAGGCCCCCGAGTGCTATCGGCTTGGGAAGAGTCCAATGAGCCATCATAAAATGAACAGCGTCGGCGTTGTATACCATGCAGCGATGTAACATTCGGCCTCAACAGTTTATTGACTTCAAATGACAAAACAGCCATCTTTCGGTGGCTTCTGGTTTCTGCTTAGAAGTGAAAACAGGATAATAAAAGGTAGAAAATCGTGTCCCCAAAATGTCAGTGCGCCATATCTGACTATTTCTTGAGGTGCCACTGCAAGTGTTTCGGCACTTGCAGTGGCAGCAATCATCGTTTACTGATAGCCTTTAAAATGCACAGCATCACTCCCGCCGCAGTGGAAATTTGGAGAGCCAATGTTTAGTAGCTGAACAATGCTTTTGAACAATTGTCTTGTAATCATGTCGCAAGCTATTTACAGAAAAATGCCTAAAAGTATGCTTCCTGGTCATTTACATGCTATTTACTCGGCGTACGTCTGTTCGCCTATCGGTTCCATTTGGCGTTGTGTTGAGCCAGAGCCGAATGGCGGGTTACTGAATGGTAAAATTTCGCCACTATGCGCGAGCGCACGAGGGTATTTGTCATGTGTAGCTCCCGAGCCGCAGCGGTCCGGGGTTCAGGTGTGGCGCGCGCCGACGCACGGTCTAAACTAATGATGGTCGGGCAAGCTGAAATGCCAACATTTCGATTAAACTACCGAATACAACACGCTGCTATCGGAACTGTGGGCATGTCCTTGGGCGAAATTTACACCGACGCATACGCATGTTCATTGTCCATATTTGTTACTGTCCCGTCCGAACATAAAATGTTGCAATGCCACATGTCCTGTCATGTCAGAACGTCACCAGCTGATCGCTTGCAGTCGCTGCCGATGGTTGTTTTAAGTAAAATGACTTACCACTCCCGGCGCATGCGCTGGACGTTACTGGCGACCCGTACTGGTAACCCTCATTTTATTCATTCGTTGCGGTGGAAAAGGGTGAGCCATAATGACAATCGAATACCCTTCTCGAGCCTGTTCACTGACGATTGAATGCCCTTCTCGAGCCTGTTGCTTTGACAAAATGTCAAAGAACACACGTATGGAATGAAGAATAGTTTACAACGGGTGCGATGAGTAGGCCCAAGAGATGTAGCAATTTTTTCTCTCGCAAGGCCGACTGAGACACCGAACCAGCACTCCCAATGGCTTTGCGAGTTGTGTTGTGGGGTCACCGCAGAGTCTAACATAAAAACATTGCAACTTTAAAAAGGGACTGCGGCGAAATCTGGCGTTTGCAATGGCAAGACCATTTGCTAAGTTTTGGCATACGAAACAACACTCCAACTGCAGCGGAAATCTAGAGAGCCAGATCTGGAAGCTGAACAATCGTCGGTCTTGCATAAGTAAACAGATCGTGGGCTTCTTCCAGCCGAGTGCCTCGACTGATAAGCCCAGTTCATTTTTCTTCGCGGCGTTGGCGTGCCTCTCCAACATCGACGCATGACCACATGTCATTCCAAATCAGCAAGCGCTGTTACAACGCTGCAACTCGGGCTACAGCTAACACCATCCCTGCTTGCCTTTTTCCCCATTTCCCATCAAACACATACGTTCTTGGTGGTCAGCATATCACACCCGGTTCCCGTCATGTGTCTTTCATAAACGCCATTGCTTTGGAATGCCTTTTCAAGGAGTAAGCTCCGTCGCTTAAGAAGGCCACGCACGGAAGTACAAACATTCACATACTTTCACCATACCCTGCATTTTAACTGCATATGCTGCAAATGGAAAAAGAAATGGAATGCACAGATGTGAACAATCTTCGACCCATTAGCGGTTACCTATGAAACTGAAAGGTCACATGAGTGACGCGGTACGCCATGGTGGCAAGGTCACCATTTAGATGATGCGTTATGTAAGACGCGGAGACCGCTGATCTCCGTGCGACAACTATGACATATTTACATGACATTGTCCACTCGCAAAAATATGTACAATATCTTCGAGATGCCTTCCTAGATAAGAACGCCAGGTGAGCACCACTGCGTGCACTTGTTCCTGTAGAAGCTGAACAAAGCGTGTTGAGAAAGGTAGTTTACAGAGGGGACCAGTTCAAGAATGCGGCCAAATCCGATCAGGTAACTGAGCCGGACAAACCCTTCCACGTCGAGATAACAGGCACAGCGTTAACTGGTTTGTTCTGGATGAAGTCTGGGCCGAGACGTTTTCGCTCCCAAGCACAAACGTTGAGTGCAGACACTGCTGCTGCACGCACGACGAAGCGTGTTCGGGCGGCCTCAGCCTGTCCGGGGTGCCGGGCACGGCGGGTATAGGGCGCGGCGACATGGCACCGCACGCCCAGGCCAATTGCTCACCATTGAGGAGTCGGGCACGCGCCGCGTTATAGCACGCGGAGCGGCACCAGAGGCGGGCCCGCCGGCAGGTGACGATGTAGCCCGTCAGCACGGGGTCCTCCACGTCCAGCAGGAGGGTGGAAAAGGTCAGCGGGCCCAGGCGCATCTCGCAGAAGCAGGTCCTCCTACTGGCGTCGGCGGTCCGCGCCGCAGCCGCCCACAGCGCGGCAGCCAACCAGCATGCGACCAGAATGCCCTGCGGAGACCGGGGAGCCGACGGATGAGACCCTGTTGCGGCCAGAGCCCCCTGTACAGACCGGGGAGCTGACGGATGAGATCCTGTGGCGATCAGAGCGCCCTGTACAGACCGGGGAGCCGACGGATGAGATCCTGTGGCCATCAGAGCGCCCTGTACAGACCGGGGAGCTGACGGATGAGATCCTGTGGCCATCAGAGCGCCCTGTACAGACCGGGGAGCCGACGGATGAGATCCTGTGGCGATCAGAGCGCCCTGTACAGACCGGGGAGCCGACGGATGAGATCCTGTGGCCATCAGAGCGCCCTGTACAGACCGGGGAGCCGACGGATGAGATCCTGTGGCCATCAGAGCGCCCTGTACAGACCGGGGAGCTGACGGATGAGATCCTGTGGCCATCAGAGCGCCCTGTACAGACCGGGGAGCCGACGGATGAGATCCTGTGGCGACCAGAGCGCCCTGTACAGACCGGGGAGCCTACGGATGAGATCCTGTGGCGACCAGAGCGCCCTGTACAGACCGGGGAGCCTACGGATGAGATCCTGTGGCGACCAGAGCGCCCTGTACAGACCGGGAAGCCTACGGATGAGATCCTGTGGCGACCAGAGCGCCCTGTACAGACCGGGGAGCTGACGGATGAGATCCTGTGGCCATCAGAGCGCCCTGTACAGACCGGGGAGCTGACGGATGAGATCCTGTGGCCATCAGAGCGCCCTGTACAGACCGGGGAGCTGACGGATGAGATCCTGTGGCGACCAGAGCGCCCTGTACAGACCGGGGAGCCTACGGATGAGATCCTGTGGCGACCAGAGCGCCCTGTACAGACCGGGGAGCCTACGGATGAGATCCTGTGGCGACCAGAGCGCCCTGTACAGACCGGGGAGCCTACGGATGAGATCCTGTTGCGGCCAGAGCCCCCTGTACAGACCGGGGAGCCGACGGATGAGACCATGTGGCGACCAGAGCGCCCTGTACAGACCGGGGAGCCGACGGATGAGATCCTGTGGCGACCAGAGCGCCCTGTACAGACCGGGGAGCCTACGGATGAGATCCTGTGGCGACCAGAGCGCCCTGCGGAGACCGGGGAGCCGACAGGTGAGACCCCATCAGAGTGCCCTCCGGATGCCGGGAGCTGACGGATGAGATCCTATTGCGATCAGAGTGCCCCGGATGGAGGGGATCAGATCTTTGAACGTCGGATAAGACCTTTTCGTGATCAGAATGCCCTGTGGAGACCGGGTCCGACGGGTGAGATCCTACTGCGACTCGAACGAACCGCGGATATTGGGCCCAGACAGGTGGGATCCCAATGCCGGATGTCGGCCAGTGAAGGAGCTGGCGAAAACTCCGCGTGCGGAGTGTGGCATCCTTTGGGATTGTGAATGAGTGTTGGAGGCGACCCACGTTCCAATTCAATCGTTCTATCCTCTTAAGATAAATTTCTGACTCCTGACCCCGTTCTCCATTGACTAACGCTATCCGTAGGTTGCAGTCGATGACGTCACAGGGAAGCGCGCTACAACAGTTCCTGCACCTCGAGTAAAGTCACTTGTGACGTAAGTACTTGTGACGTCATAGATAGTGATCTCAAGAGCCCAGTTCATCACTGAGTTACGTTCAGAGCTCCGCCCACCTAGGTGACGTCATAAATGCACGCCAATGGGAAGCTCCTTAAGCTCCAAATTCGAGCATAAGTAGAATCAGCTGATCAAAACCCCTGAAGGCATAGAGGGCGCAGGAATGGCGCACTTTAATCTTGTTCTATTAACAGCCATTGGCAAGGGGTCTGTCGCTAAAAACATCATTATCAATCACACTTTACACAAGAGACCGAAACCTGTCTGTTTGCCGGACATACAAGACCGTCTACAGGCTTCTATTACCTTATAAAGATCGGGGCTAAGGTAGATATGTACATACTCCGCGAATGGGGAACTGGACCGTGGGTCATGCTGCCCTGATTACGGAACGCCTTCGCCTTTAACCCGGACCATTCTGCTTCAACTTCAAATTTAACCTGCTGCCACATTTTGCCGCCAGCATCACATGTCTGAGCTCTCTAGCACTACTATAGGCCCGGGTAGTCGCCCTGGCACCGATCAAAGCTGGAGACGCCAACTTTGTATGGGGTTTCATGAAACATGAAACATCATACAATTGAGGTCAACTTCTGCAAAAATTTGTGCTGGCTGTCCCCTGTGGTGGAGGCAATTAGCCAAATTGAAAACGCTATCATGCATGCCCTCGATCAACGTACGCAAAAAGGCGTTCGCAAAACTTGTCGCCATAGATCAAGTGCAATTCCTAGGCTAAAGGTTCCGCTGTTTTTCTCGTAATTTTAACGACTTATTTGCGACTTCGGCCAAATGTGGATGGAATGAAAACAAAACGGAGGGAGGGCACGGGTAGATCCACTTCAAAGAAATAAAAAGCCTCACTGCCACCGGCAGGCAATTAAACGGTCCAGCTTCCGCAACGATCCATTACTTTCAAACGCTAAACGGCTTTGTAACCCGCCATCATTCCCGCAGCAAACTTTAAGTCAACACCATCCGCGTCAGCCTGGTCTGAGTGAGTGGGCGGCGCTCAGTGCGTTCGCACATCGTTCGCTCACCTTCATCGCGCCCCAGCCTCCGCTGTGACGATCGCACTACCAGTGCGGGCGCCCCGGGCCCGCCGGTCGGCCGCCTGATCGGCGGCTGCCCCGGGCACGTCACGTGACTGCTAGGGCAGGGGCGCGCTTAGCCGGGTCCGTAAGGGGTGTAAGTACTCGGCTGAGGCACGTGTCTTTTAATTTTCACAAAGGTCGAATTTTTCCCTCCAATTTTTCCAAAGTACACATGCTTCTTATTGAAAATGCCACTCTCTGATCGGGTTGTTCCCCCGATTGCAGTATGGCCCTCTATTCCTGATATGTCCCCGCCAAACTCTGGGACGTGGTTTACGTGTCGGGATGACGTTGCTTGAGGCATGGGCAAAATGGCAAAGACCATAGGTGATGCTATAGGACACTAACACATTGTCTTACATCTAGTGAATGCGTGGAATATTTTCTGGGGATGCAGTCCAACGAGACATGAGCGTGTAGGCTAAAACTTAATTTGCTTTTCACGCGGTGAGTTTTATCTCAAGGCCCGGTGCAGGCAAATTTGGCCCTCCTAATGACTTGCCGTTTATCCAAACAATCATTACGGGCAAGTTCTCAAACGATGGCTTTTAGTCAGCATTACCTTTTTATTTGAGCAAAATAGTGCAAGGCATGAATGGCGGAATCCAGAGCACAAATCTCAACTGTTTGCCTAAGGTGAATCTAGATCCCTTGCATTCCTTTTCATTTTAATGCGGTGACTGTGAAAAGCCCAACGGCAGCGAAGATCCATGTTGAGGTCGATGAAACCCTCCTCTATTGCTGCCTAGAAAATTCCATTCAAGTAAAAGCTCAACCTCATGTTTCCGAAATCATTGCGCTGCTCAGAAAATCTTGGGCATTAGGCCTTAAACGGTCGCTGGATGCTATGGGTCATTTAATCGTCATCCATAATCCACCCTTACCACACTTAAACACCCTTAAATATAGCCATCTTGCTCAGGGTGCCCTGTTGTAATTAAGAAACCAAGAAGCCCAGCCGACTGTAGAATTTACAAATAAGAGCTTCCGAGAGCAGCTCCTTGACTCTGACCACCTGATGCGTTGAAACCATCTCCAAAAATTGGGCAGCACTAAGCCACTGGCCCAGGAGTCCATACTGAATCAGACACATGGCACAGAACCTATACAAATGCATGTCGTTGTATTCACGCAGAGCTGGCGAATGGCTCACTGACGTCCTATCACAGCCTCGTTAGCCAATTTACCAAAATTATGCAACGTAAATCCAGGCGAATAATACGCTTGTCCACTGCAAAACATGTTCGCTCTCTCCCCATTAAGTGCAATCGAAAACAGTCAAGCCTTCAAGCCTGCGTGATTAAAATGCGGGCTGTTAAAATGCGAACTGAAGCAGTCAACTTAAAGGTGGGTTATCAGAAAACCCGCTCAATAGCTGGCAATTCCTGCCGAAGTTCACAATGGTCGTGATCCGACTGATTCATTAGCAACTGGACGAGTTTGAATGCAAGCAAACTGAGCATTTTCATGCTATTTTCATGCATCATATGACTAACCGGGCTTCTGAGCCGGTTTTCTGACTTCAATGCGATGCGTCATGTTAAGCCGTTGGTATAAAATGAAGCTTGATGCACATTAGCTGTTCCAAAATTTCATCAAAAAGAATGCGCGTCGCAAACAAGCAGCTGCGTGTCACACCTCACCGTCAGCAATTTCTTATTCCAGTTTTATAAAGACTCGTGCTAGTTTCTAAACTAACTGAACCGTGACAAAGTGTGAGCCGAGAGTTACGTTATTTGTTCATAAAATATACATCAAAAACGTTGCGCGTCGCATATGAACAACTATGTGTCCAATCAATGAAGTCCGTGGTTCTCATCTCAGTTGTCTGTGAAGACTTTTACCAGCCACGCAACTACTTATGAATAGAAATGTATACTTTCACAGCATATTTACATAAAGGACTGTGTACGATACAAATAGACTTGCGTTTCCAGCTCGCAAGGCTCCATCTTTTCGACCATGTTCCGCGTGAAGACTCGTGCAGGCTACGAAATTAAATGATACACCATGGCATGGATGACATGGCATGGCATTATGGAATGGATGCGTGATTTGATTATAGTTTGCTTTCATCACGTTCATTCCTCGCTGGCATTCCCCTCTTCCTGCATTAAAATCACGGCTTGCCCACCAGCCTGATGTATCAGCATCTAATCCACATTAACACATCTGAACATGTCACTCGTGTCGTAATATGACTCCCTTTGCGGTAATCCTAATAGCATAATCCCATGGTAATGTGACCTGCCAGGCGTGTGACCCTAACTCGCAGCCACATGGCACGTGATGACCTCCGTCTGGCCCGTGGAAGCCCAACCGGCAGGGCTTTCTCATCTGATTGGCGTCGGACAAATGCAGCAAAAGGGAAAAATGCTTGCTGGATGTCGCCTTTGACCAGCAATTCCTGGTGTACTGAAGGTTGATTATTTTCAGCGAACTTTCGATTATTTTATTTTATATTTAGCGATTATTTTCGACCCCTAATGCGAAATATCACGTGCGTAATGTTTGCAATGTTGATATCAGCTTTCTACTTGTGTCAAAGTGCTGGCCGCATCTTTTTGACTCTGGTGACCTGTCCGGTCACAGCGTCTATCCATTGTCACGTTTGAAAAAGTGCTTTTTGTATCACCGAGGAGGTTTCGAACAGCATGAAGCCACGAATCCTGAAAACCATGAAGGCTAAAATTGAGAATATGCTCGTTTCAGAAGCTTCATTTGCAACAAGGTCTGATTTGCCGACCATGTCAAATGTCACGGTGTTTAGGACGCTGGGGCCAGTGAACAAGTGGCCGGCGCAGCGGGCGGGCCAAAAGCCGATAAGCACGTTGGTTTGGTTCAAGGCTAGGACTCGCATGCACGAAGAAGCGCGAGAGCAGGCGTCATCAGCGACCGCACCACGACCATGAGTGGTGCATAGCGAACCCCATAAACTATTGAGCAACATCCTGCAGCAATATCAGTTCTGGAGAAAAAGGTCTTGCAGAGTTTAATCCACCCACAAAAAGTCGCTCGATACGGCTATTTTGTCAAATTTTTTACTTTTAGTTTATCTATGTGACCTGCTAGAAATTATCCGGATGCAAACTACTACATTTGGAGGCATTTGATGGCGTAATCTGCTCATACAGCAAAACGCCCATGCTCCAACACATGGTCTATACGAACTCACACTCGAAGCATTTGGGCGTGCTTTGTGCGTCATCTGGCTGGGATGTCTTGCTGCAAATAATTCTCATTTTTGCGATCTTGTCACCAAATAGCCTGAAGACGTGACTATTTTTCACCGATCACATCCATCCTTCGACTCCTCGCCACCTTTTTTCACCCGTTTTCTGTGTCCTTCCAGCTATCGACATGTCTGTTCAGGTCCTGCAAGTGGAAGTTAACTTTTGGGTGAAGACACGTCCCGGGAGGTCCGATAATCTATCTGCTGTAGCCTCAACGGCGAATGCATCAAGTGAAAACCTGTCTGTGGTCCACGCATGTCAGGCCACATCGCTCCACATGGAAATATGAGTTTTGCGTCTCGGATCACCTTTTGATAATGACAAGCACTGTTTATTATCGGTGATTTTATCCGGCCGTCGTGTTTGTCCTGTTGGGCGTCTTTTGCTTATATGGTTTCGTCTCAGTTTTCTACTTAAGCCTCAGTTTAACCTCATTTTTCACTTGTTCTCTCTCAATAAGAAAAGCCCCGGTGGGGCTTGTGAGGCAAAAACATGTTTAGAAGGTCTTTTGGCTGGAAATTGAACCCAATGCATGCATCTGCATCTTGCATGCAACGCATCTTTCCAATATTGCAGTTTCACACGGAACCGAACTGAGGTGTCATGTTTAAGTAAAACCTCTTCTATCGACAGATTAAAAAACAACATAAATCTTGACATCGGAGCCGCAAACTAGGCCAGCTGAAATCCGGAAAGAAATCATATTTCTGGGTCAGCTAGGCTAACGTTATTGATTTAGTTTCCCAACCCGATTTTAGAAAGGGAGACTTCTGCACCCATCCGTGGTGCTGCGGCCTCACTCAAAGCCTCATTGTGGGGCCCCGGAAACTAAGCAAGCTGCGGCAGGAAATCGCTCTGTGTTCTTCCAGGGCGGGGGACGGGAACCGAGCTCCCCTGGTGCTGAACTAAGCCCTCAATACTCTACTCAACAAGCCACACTAGTTCAGTGATGCTCGAAAAGCCACACCAGTGCAGAAACTACGTTAGAAACGCTTTCGAAAGTTGTGAGGTAGATGCCACTAAGGTTTAAGTCTTACAACCCTTAAAAGGTCGAATTTAGTCACAAATATTTAAGCCTGCCTAACTTGTCCTCACATTAGAAGTCTCCATGAAGTTACTTGTGGTCACAAAGTGTAAAATGTGGGGGCAGGGGGTCCTGGGTTGGGGGTGGGGGGGGGGGGACGTACTGTGCGCTGCTGCCGGGCCGCCGCTGGATGTTTGTGCACCACCGGCTGCCGCTGTCACACCCATCCACAATAGCGAACTTATGGTGAGGAGCCCATTGGTCAACACACGAGCCAGATGATGTTAGCGCACGACTCGGCACGTTGTGACCCCGGTACACCCGACATCAACACACACTCGCGTGAGCCACAGAGCTAAGATGAAGCGGGTGACCGGGGCACTGGCAGGATGGTATGTCCGGTCAGGCACCATGAATACTTGTCTCCCAGTACATGGCTGTGCGCCCTTAACTACGGTATCCCACCTCCACCTTTTCGGTTATGATAATATTCGAACGGGGCAAAAACGGAGCAAGCTGCATTAAAAGTGTGTCCAAAATGACAAAGATACTGCGCACCTGGCGATTTGCATTGGCAGTGGCCCGCTGAATAGCAACCCCGAGAGCCGCCCTCGGCCATAACTAACCCACACCGACTTCGTGCATTCGACATCCCACCACACCCACTCCAAGCATACGCAACCGCTGGCGCCCACGTCACCCCACACATTCTTGGTGC